GTGAATGTGCCCGCGCATGGGTTGGCGCATAGAATATCTCCACCAAAAACAGTCAAGTGTTTCATGTGTTTTCATGCTGATAATTTCAGAAAGCACTAAAACGGCCCCTTTTCCTCAACAAGGAAATTTGACCTCACATGGCTTTCTGTATAACATGATCTGTGATAGAAAGCAAGGAACTGAGATGGGTGTTTCATCGTTTATCAAGCTAAGACCTCATTTTTTAAACACAAAAGTACTCATTTCAGTGGATTGAGGGGGGTTCTTTTCCTTCTTCTTCTTCTTCTTTTTTGTTTTTTGGTATGGAGTGTTGGAAGACTGTTTGAGGCTTTGGAGCCAAATCGTGCAATTGTGAGATGCTCTTCCCTTACTCACACTGCATACCAACAAACCCAATTGCTATAGTGAATTCTGAGAGTACGGCTTCTTTATAGAGCATGTACCAAACTATTAACCTCTACAGAACTATTCACTATAGAAAACATATTTCAACCAGATTGACAGAACACTGGCTGCAGCTTACCTACCAGGTCAGATGTGTAATACACAATCCTTTGTTGTCCTGGTGTTCACTATAAAAAGAAAAAAAAAATGTGTCTGATGATTTTTAAAACTTAAAAAATCCATTTGGGTGAACAGTGCCACGTAGACAACAGGGGCTTAATACATGTTTGCACTAGCAGTTTTGAAAGTATATCTTCAACTCTTTAAGTCTATAAATTTCAAGATGGAATCTTTGCTTTAATTTGCATATTCTGGAATACTAATGAGTTAGAACATTTTTCTCTCTGTTAACCATTTGTACTTATGTCTTTATGAATTGTGTGCTCATATCATGTACACGTTTCCCTTGGGGGTGATTTTTAAATTATAGAAATATTTTAGGCAAGATTACAATGTTAGCATCACCCTGTTAGCCTGACAATTGCTTAGACTTTCTATTTCTTTTATCTTCACAGAGCAATGCAAAGAAATACCATAGTTTGTGTATGTTCAATTTGACCACCTTTGCAATGCTTTCAGTAAAATGATCTGACAGTGCTTCTGTCTCTACCCTAATGCTCTTTGAAAAAGTAATTGTTCTCTTTGAACAAGCACAGTTGAGTGATTCGTGTACACTTTGTGAAAGATTGCTTTTGTGCTCTGTGGTTGGTCATTGTTAAGAAAATAAGATGTGTCCAGTGGCAGTGGGGTGGGCTGGGGGGCCTGATAGCACTATACAGACGTAGGAAGAAGATTTGAGTTTTGGACAGAAAATTGATGACCATACTCTCTCCCGTGAATAATTTTATAGCATTGATGCAATGGGACTATTTAGGCAGGATTTGCTTGATTTGAAGTCAGCATGAAAAAGTGAATCCAAATAGCAGTTGTTTTAAGCAGAACTACGAAATTATTATTCTTACATGAATTTACATAGAACAAAAGCTTTCCTGCACAACTGTCTGATAACTTCAAAACCATTATCTACTTATCTACTGTAAACACTTGATTGTTCAAATTGTGGGGCTGGAGGAAACAGAGGTATTTTATTGTTAGGTAGTCTTGGAAGAGTTAGTGGTAATTAATAATCCTGTGTTTTTTACTGCCAGCATTAACCTTGTGTAGTCAACCCTCAGACTGAGAAGTAATTTAGAACATGAAATTGCTTTAGAAAAATTTTCCTGGGGCACCTGGGTGGCTCAGGCATGGGGTGTCTGCCTTCAGCGCAGGTCGTGATCCCAGGTCTTGGGATCGAGCCCCACATCGGGCTCCCTGCTCAGCGGGAAGCCTGCTTCTCCCTCTCCCTGCCGCTCCCCCATGCTTGTGTTCCCTCTCTTGCTGTGTCTCTCTCTGTCAAATAAATAAATAAAATCTTTAAAAACAAAAGAAGAAGAATTTTCCTGAGTAGGTTAATCCCTCTATTTCAGGGTTTCTCAATCTTGGTACTCTTGACATTTTTGCCTAAGTACATCTTAGCCGGGAAGAACTTTCCTGGGCCTTGGTGGGATGTTTAGCAGCATCCCACTAGACGAAGGTAGCACACACACCCTCTTGCGACAATGAAGGACATCTCCAAACATCGCCACACGTGGGGAGGGGAGAAACAAAATCCCCTGGCTCCCCTAACCCCTTCTGAGAACCACTGGTCTTTTTATTGCTTTTAACCATATGACTTGAAAAAGTAATATTTAAAAACTGTTATTTGTCCTTGGAGTTACTCAGGTAATCATTCCTTTAAGGATAACGTGATGTATTTGTGGCTGGGCTTTGCAGAGAGGTTTTACCTCCTTGCGATGTTGAAAAACCGTTCTCTTTACATCCAGTCAGTAGACTTAATGAAAAGGAGATAGAAGAGAATATTGAATCGGCTGAGAAGGTTGACATGGCATGTATTGTTACTGATGCAGAAATAATAGGGAGTGTTCTGAATGTTAAAAAGTCAAAGTATGTTGATAAGAAGTCATGAAGAAGATGATTTTAGTGAAGCCTTCTTCAGCATTTGAAGTAATTAATTAGAAAGCCAACCATATTATCTTGCCAAGAAAGGGCTGCATTTTCACATTCTGCTTTTCAATTTTAGGAGCTAGAGACAAATGACAAGTAAACAAGTTGTTATCTGTAGTTTCTTCAAAAAAAGCAATTTCCAGGATATGTCATAGGCACAATGTGGCTTCAGCTTTATTCCTGTCCCTTTTACATCTGTGGTTCTATAAAAATGATAATTGATGGTCATTGAATGCACTGTGTGAGAAAGAAATGTCCACAAAAATGAGATTCTGTGTTCATTGAGATGACATATGTTAAAATTCTCATGTGCTAGGTTCTGTGCAGGGAATACAGAAAATAATAAAACATTCTGCTTGGATATTTCATTAAAATAATTCTGTTTGGATGGAAATTTTCTGGTTAGGGATACCAATCACCATCAGTCTATTTCCCACTTTTCCCATTAATTCTGTACTTTTAAATATCTGTCTGCAAAAGCTGTTTAAAAGGGTGTGTGAGTGTGTGTATGATATATGTCATGTATATAATTTAATTCTTTTTAAGGCTATTTCTGAAATTAGTAGAAAGCTATATTCATTTTCTTCTATGCTTGTTAAAATCTTATTTAAATTATTCTCTTTATTAAATATCCATGAGAGTTGAATAAAACATGGTCATATATTATTAATTCATTTTTGGTTATATACTATGGCTCTAATATCCTCAAGAAGAATTGATCTCACCCTTAAGGCCAGAACTTTTGCTAATTATTACAAGATTTAAAACCATTTCGTTGATGTCTGGATTCAAAAAGCAGGATCTTAAAGTATGGTAGTCTTAAAACTTTTTTTCTGGTTCAAACAGATCAACTGAGGTTACAGGTAAGGTAGGGAACAAATGAAATCTTCATGATATTGGATAGGCCAGAGTTAGAAAAGCAAAGAATTTGGGGCGCCTGGCTGGCTTATCCAGTGGAGCATGTGACTCTTGATCTCAGGGGTGTGGGTTCCAGCCCCATGCTGGGTGTAGAGCTTACTTTAAAATAAAACCTTAAAAAAAGAAAAAGAAAGGGACGCCTGGTTGGCTCAGTCGGTTAAGCGTCTGCCTTCGGCTCAGGTCATGATCTCAGGGTCATGAGATCGAACCCGGTGTTGGGCTCCGCGCTCAGCGGGGAGTCTGCTTCTCCCTTCCCTCTGCCCCTCCCTCTCGCTCTCTCTCTCTCTCAAATAAATAGAATCATTAAAAAAAAAAAAAGAAAAAAGAAAACCAAATGATTCAACATGTAGGAAGTTAGAGGTAAAGAGCAAAAGTGGAGTTCTAGTGCTTGAAAATGTGTTCTTCCTCTCCCTCTCCCTGTGTCCATTTTAGCAGTCTACATCATGAATGCACAAACCCATTCATAGCCACCGGCTCCCTGCTCTTAGATGATTCAGAGACACTTTGGGCAATGTTATACCTAAGGAAACACAGGCCTGCCTTGTCTAAGGGATAATAAAATATTGTACTGTGGTGGTCAGTTTTCAGGGTAACCTGAGGCCCTTCATTAAATATTTTGTGTGGTCTCTGTGAAACAAACTGACCTGTTAACTACAGGTTCTCCAATCCTTTTTATGCCCCCCCCAAATTATTAGTGTAATATATACATTGGCATAGCTTGCATTTATTATTTTTTTACTTTTTATTTCTTAGAAAAGATGGAAATGCCACTAGACTCTAGCGATTTAACTGAATAAATCCCAAAATGATCAGTGAGAGATACTGCTGGAAAAAGAAATTATTTCAGGTGTAAAAGTTTTTGTTCCATTGGGGGTTGATTAGAACTATAACTAATGACAGAAGAGGAAGCAGTGTGTTACTGTCACAGTTAATCTTTGACTTTTATTAATGGGGTCTTTGGAGTTTGGAATCATACTAGACTTACATTCAAATCCTGACCCAACTACTTTAATAAATTTGCGACCTTGGGTGACTTACTTTTAACCTTTTTGTAGCTCATTTTCCCTACCCTTCACACAAAGGAAATAATAATAGTACCTATTGCATTGGATGGTTTTAAGGATTATATGAGATCATGTTTGTAAATTTCTGGGCAAGTACCCGATACATAGTGACTATTCAATAACTGATAGCTATTATTTTTATCTTTCTCAAATTAGGTATTCCAAAGAAATTTTAACTGTGAATAACACAATTTGATGTTATTGCTACCTAAACAGTACAATACCAAAAGCAATTACTCTTGCACTAAAAATACAAAGACCCTTTGTGAATGTAGTTTTGAACCAGCTTTTAGGTTGATTTCTCACTTCTAATTTTTTTCTGACCTTGAAAAGTTTTTTACAAATACATAATATAATTTCTTCTAGGGTGTAGAATGGTATCAGCCTAAAGCACAACAAAACAAAATTCAGTATATCCCATAGTCAAATGATTGGCCCTAGTGACTGATTATTACTCTAAACAATGCCATTGTTGTGAATTATATATCAGCTTTTAACTTGCCTTTCTTTCTGATTTATACACATTTTCAGATCTCTAGTGGAAGAGGAAGACCAACACATGAAATTGTCCCTTGGAAGCAGCGAAATGGGTCTCTCATCCCATCTGCAGTCTTCCAAGGCAGGAACCACACGCATCTTTACCAGCAATACCCACAGTTCTGTGGTGTTACAGGTAATCTAAACTGTCCCTTCTGTAATATTTAAATGGATTTAAAAACCACTCAGAGTGTTTGTGGTGGGGGATGTCGATAGCGGGGGGTGAGGAGCGTGCATGTGTGTGGACGGGGTGCATACGGGAACCCTCTGTACTTGCTGTTCAATTTTGCTGTGAACCTAAACGTGCTCTAAAAAATTAGGTTTATTAATTAAAAAAAAGAGCAAGCAAACATCAGGAGGAAACCTTGAGGGGAAAACTACATACCTTCCTGATGTTAAAAAACAGACAAACAAAAAAACCCAAAACCCAGAGTTCATTATTTGTTTTATTTGTATGAAGGAGGTCTCGCTGTCGGCCACTTCGCTTACAGAATGTTAGGTCTGGCAGCATTGACTTTCCATTTTGTCTCAGCCAATATAAATATCACAAATCCCTATGCTGAATTTTCTAGTTCCTCACTCATGACCTGCTTCATTGTCACCTTTATCATAGTTCTGAAGATCATATTTCTTTGGCATCTCAGCTCACATTGACAGTAGTAGGTGTGGGAGTGTAGATAAGGATGGCTGGATGCAAACACACTGGTAGATGTAAGAGGTAATAAGTGACCTCAAAGGAGAGGACGGAAATACAATAGAAAGCCCCCCAAAACAAAAAACACAAAAAAAACCCAACCCATCAAAAACTGCAACGTGGAGCTCATTAGCCGAAGGATAAGCAGGCCTAGGACTTCTGGCAGGTATGGATGCTCCCTGACCACTGTGGGCATGGCTGAATTAGGAAACAATATACTATTGGATGTCCCTTAGTGTCTTCTAGATATAGGCAAATTACATCAGTGTTCCCTCTAGTGAGATAAAGAAAAGAAATTTTTCTGAATGTATTTTTCTAAGAAATCTCCCCAGGTGAATTTCATGCATATTCCTGGTCCGTGACCATTAGGGTAAAGCAGTATATAGTATATAGTGTTTGGTGTACAGTCCAGTATATAGTGTAGTAAAGAGAGGAGTCCTTCCACTCGCTCTGCAGCTTTGTTGTGTCATGGAATTTTCCTGGGCTTCATTTGTCTTATCTCCACACTGTGTCTTGACTAGGAGATCTCTAAATTCCATTCTAGTTCCCATCTGTAATTCCATGAGATCATATCTTCCATTATTTTGGTTTGCAATGGGAGCTGGGTTTTATGGTTTGTTGTCCTGTGGGTCTCATCAGCAGAAATTTGAGGGTCAGGAAGGAGAAGCTTGCCAATTCCTGGCATCTCGATGCTATGTAAATGGTTTAATTGTTGGCTGTTCAAGGCTATGGGAAAAGAGAGTGAGGGGTCAAACAGATAGGAAAAGTCTGAGAGGAAGAGGTATTTTTTGTTATATTAAAGTAATCTCTCTAAAGAAAAAGAGACTTACCCCCCCTAATACATCTCCCCCATCCATGCCCATAGCCTTGTGTTAAAGCCAATGTGTGTGCTCCTGCTAATTTTTAAATGAACTTTAAACTAAATAATGGAAGCCACTTTAGTGTAGTGATACAGATTTGGGGCAGTGGGCCTCAAATTTTAGTGCATTTCAGAATCACAAGGAGGAAGGCTTGTTAAAACAGTGAGCGCTGGGCCCTGCCCCAGAGTTTTTGAATCAAAAACTCAGATACATGTATTTTTTTTAAAGATTTTATTTATTTATTTGACAGAGAGCTAGCAGGGGGAGTAGCAGAGGGAGAGGGAGAAGCAGGCTCCCCACTGAGCAGGGAGACCGACATGGGGCTCGACAGAGGGCTGGATCCCAGAACCCTGGGATCGTGACCTGAGCCGAAGGCAGATGCTAAACGACTGAGCCACCCAGGCGCCCCTCAGATACATGTATTTTTTAACAAGTTCCCAGGTGATGCTGCAAGACCAGGGAACATACCTTTAGAACCACTGTTCTAGAGACAGGGTCCTTCTTCTGCCGAGAAAGATGGCCTCTCCCTTTCTCCCTACTCATATGAGGGGATAAGCTAATTGCTTTAATGGGGAGACATCAGGAGTAGCTTCTATATCTATCAACAGGGAAATGCTTACATAAATTATGTGGTATAACAACTAGGTACTACTGTGCAGTCACCAAAGAGGGTGAGGTAGATCTGTGTGTAAGAATGGAAAGAATATATTAAATGAAAAAAGTAACAGGACAAATATGGCATATGCACATGATGGAATATTATTCAGCTCTATACAGGAAAGAAGTACTGACGCACGCTACAGCATGGATGAACCTTAAAAACTTTATGCTAGTGAAAGAAGCTAGTCACAGAAGGCCGTATTTTACATGATTTCATTCAGACAGAATGGCTGGAAGAGGGATGTCTATAGAGACAGAAAGTAGACTAGTGGTTGCTTACAGGTGGAGAGAATGAGAAGATACGGGGGTGCTAAAGGGTCCAGGATTTCTTTTTGAGATGATGAAAAAAATCCTAAAATTGACTGGGGATATGGTTGCACACATTATCTGTGAATGTACTAAAAGCCACTGAACTTTTCATTATATGTAAGTGAATTGTATAGTATATCAATTCTATCTCAGTAAAGCTGTTAAAGTTACAGGACAGTATGTATTGTATAATCCCATCTATTGGTAGAAAAACTATACAATAAATGGGGCGCCTGGGTGGTGCAGTTGGTTGAGCTCCCGACTCTTGGTTTCAGGTCAGGTCATGATCTCAGAGTCGTGAGATCGAGCCCTGTGTTAGGCTCCTCGCTCAGCACAGTCTGCTTGAGATTCTCTCTCCCTCTCCCTCTGCCCCTCCTGCTCGTGCTCTCTCTCTCTCTCAAATAAATAAATCAAACTTTTTTAAAAAAGAAAAAGACTATACAATATATATATGAATGTAAATGCACAGCAAAAGGTCTGGAAACATTAAGGGAGGCTGGTGAATGTTGTCTTACACTTTCTGCTCTGTACGATCCTGCACTGTTTAATTTTTTTTACAATGGAAATATTTTTGTGTATAACCTGTGTAGTTTAAAAAAGATAATTGTTCTCTTAACTATGGGAAAAAAAATGAGGGTTGCTGGAGGAGAGGGGGATGGGGGATGGAGTAACTGGGTGATGGGCATGAAGGAGGGCACTTGATGGAATGAACACTGGGTGTGATATGCAACCGATGAATCACTAAATTCTACCCCTGAAACTAATACTATACTATATGTTAATTGAATTGAAATTTAAAAAAAATTTTATGTATATATATATATATATACACATATATATATATATATATATGTAAATTGTTGACAAAACCAGTATGGCTGGGTCTTAGACCCTTAGCTATATTACGTTTTAGTTTAGCCTTTGTTGGTCCCAGCTGGTGGAAAGAACAATGATGTGAAAGTAACTAGAGAGTTTGTATGGAGTAAAGGTGATCTTTCATCAGCTGACTTTTTTTTTATTATTACACTATTTTCTGTGGTGGCAGAGAGCAACCGCTTCTCTATCACTGTTGCCAAAGTCTGCTCTCTTTAAAAGTCCATTAAAAATGATGTTCTCACAAAGGGAGATTTTTAAGTAGCAGCACTAACAGAGAACTCCCCCCCACCATCTAATCTTAGGTGTATGGTTGTCAAGGGAACAAGTTGGAGAAGTGTTTAATGTGTAAATGTTATCATTGTTTTAAAATTAGCAATCACACAAACTTCAGCTTCAGAAGGAATTGAGAGTCACTGTCAGGAGAAGGGACCCATGGGGAGAAAGTGTTTTCAGAAGTCTCACTCTGCACGATTACCCACTGCCTAACTCTAGTGGGAAGGACATGAGTTTAGGCCAAACCTGGAATCCTAATTTTACCAATAGTTATGTGACTTTGGGAGCCCTCCATCCTCTCTGGGCCAGTTTCCTTATCTATAAAATGCGTAAGAGATGTGAGAATTAAATGTGACAATTTATGGGAAAGTAAGGTGCATCGTAAATATCCACTTTCTTTTACTTCAATTTGAGCCAAACATGGAAGGCGTCGGAGAAAATGTAGCTGATCTGAAGTGATGGGTGTGCCACATAAGGCATCCATCTGGTTGGCTTGATCTGCTCTTGCAGATTAATCATCTCCGTTAAACAGGCTTCTGCAAACTGTCGGCTGTCGAAGAAAGTGCCTAAAGAATGGTGATACCTAATAGGTTTGGATTCCTAGAACCTTGAACAGATCCGCAGAGAATCCATGATGGAGTTAAGCAGTGCAAATTGCTTTCACTCTATTAAGGAAGGTTAACCAGGGTTTGCTTAAGTAGTAACTGGTAAAATCAAGGACTAATCTCATTTTCTTCACTCCTGTAGTGCTACTATAGATATGGTTATTTCCCATGGAAAGCTTTCATCCTTTGGCTTCACCTATTATCCCACGTTGTCAGCATTTTTCTTGTACTGCCCCATTTTATGTTAATTCATTGAATCATACTATTCCTTGGCGGCTTCGTGCCTTAAAAATAACAGCTTTATGGAGATATAATTCGTATACCATCTAATTCACCCACATAAAGTGCACAGTTCAATGGTTTTAGTTTTTAGTATACTCACTGGGTTTTGCAAATATCACCACAATCCATTGTAGAACATTATCATCTGCTCAAAAAGAAACCTTGTATCCATTCGCACTCTGCATCTACTTACAATTCCTTCCACTAATCTACTCTCTATTCTGAACATTTCCTGCCAATGGAATCATCATATGTAGTCTTTTGTGACCAGTTTCTTTTACTTAGCATCATGTTTTCAAGGTTCATCCATGTTGTAGCCTGTATCAGTGCTTCTTTCCTTTTTATGACTGAATACTATCCCATTGTATGGATATACCACTTTTTTAAAAAAAAATCATCCATCCATTGATGGACATTTGGGTTTTTTTCTGCTTTTTGGCTATTATGAATAATGCTGCTGTGAACCTTCATGGAGAAGTGTCTGTGTGGACATGGTTTCATTTATCTTTCATATATACATAGGGGTAGAATTGCCAGTTCATACAGTAATTCTGTGTTTAAACTTTTGAAGAGCTGC